CGGTAAATTTTGTGGACATGAAATTAAAAAAAAAAAAATGGCTCTTCAAAATCTGCAGAAAAATTGATGATTTCATAGGTTTGCTTCTTAAACTTGTACTATCAAGATTCTTATTGTTGAGTTACTTGTCCTCATGTTGTCACTTCACTTCTCCTTTGATATTGCTGCATTCAAGAACTTCAAGAAGTGTAACTTTTTTACCATATACAATCTCGTTCACTTCTCTTATTGTTCAAGTCTGCTATCGCGTTTAAAATATTCATGTTTATGTCACCCAGATTTCTGCTTGCCCTCTTTTATTTGATGTTGATTATTCTAATGTCAAATTCTTATTTCTTTCACATTGGTCTGTGCATAATTTTCCAGGTTGAATCTTCATTCGGTGGCAAGACTAGGATAAACCATCTACTTGGAAAGAACAGGATTGGCACTTTCTACCAACCTCAGTGTGTGCTTATAAACACAGACACGTTAAATACATTATCAGATAGGGGATTTTGCATCAAGATTTGCTGAGGTTATAAAGTATGGGCTCATCAAGGATGAGAACTTTTGAGTGGCAGGAGAAAATATGGAAAGCATTGATGGTAAGGCAAAATCATCGTCAAAGTATTGCTATAAGCTTGCAGACTCCAATATTTGTTCCTTCTATGTCATGAAGCTGGTATGACAAGGTTATGACGTCTTGCTCACACATGCCTCAAATCTATTACTATATAATCTGTTACCAGTTCAGAGATTGCTTCATGCCTCGAATCTATTGCTATATAACCAGTTGCCAGTTCAGAGATTGTCACACTAAGTCTAATAAATGAGTCCTTTGTGATTTGTAAATAATATGACTTGCTATAGATTCTATTACATATATTTGATTGATATTGATTTTAAGGCATATGTGACTTTATATTTTTTTTCTTACCATGTATAGGTGTGTGTGTGTGTTTCACTAGCTGTTTCTTAAACTATATAATGTCAATTATCGGCAAGTTGATCCTTCGAACTCTATCTTCGATAACCATGATCAAAATATTATTTTTCATGTGATGCATCATGACAGTGCAATGTAAAAAGTAAATGATGAAGCAAAGCTGAAGAATCCATGTAGAACAAATACCTCACTGGAGGTCAATCATCAAATTCAGCAGCAATATATTTTAACTCGACTGATGTATGACTTGCATAAGAACCTGACCCCAACATGCCTTCTCCAAGAGTCTAGAAGAGACAAATATTATGAAGTCGCATCAAAAAGGAAAGGTAACATGAACGAAGGAAAAGGCTGCTGCTTTGAAAGAACCATTCTTGACCAGATTGTGATGGGGCAAGATCTTGACTTTTATATGTACTCTTTTTTCTTTTTAGATGCGTCTGTTATGTGACCGTTAGATTGTTGTGTCTGTTGAGTCTTGATTAAAGTTTGTTCTGCTCTCGTAAACAAGTGTTAGGTTTGAGTCTTGACTTTATAAGATCACTCTTCATATTAGAATATTAAGCTTTGCTTTTCTTCATTTTTCTAAATCTTGGCATTTTTGACTATGTGTACACTTTTGTTGGCTTTTCTTGCTTCTCTTTTAAATCCAAATTTTCTGATGTGTTTTTGCATCATGTTTCTCTTGCAGGAACATGGAGACATACAAAAGCGGAGACGTGACTCTTTGAAGTCCTAACTTCTAACTTTCTTCCTGTACTTGTGACAGATGCATGATGACATGAAAAATGAAAAGGACAGTACGTGGCTCTGCTTTTGTGAGAAGGGAATAAGAAGAATGATAATAAAATTTTAAAAAAATTAATTAATTTAAGTTAAATTTTAAGAATTTATAATTAAATTTTTAATTTTATAACTCGATTATGATGAATTTATAATTTATATTAAATTATAACAGAAAAATATTTTTTTATTATTCAATTATGTTAAAATTTAAAAAATAAATTATAAATTTATTATAATATAATTATAAAATTGAAAGGTTGAGTTATAAATTTTTAAAATTTGATAGTTAAAACATAATTCAAATAACTAATTTTTTTTGAAGACCTTCTTTTTATTATTTTTTAAAAATATCTAACTTTTTCTACCATGCTTTATGAGTGTAAGGAAAAAAAGGTGTATTAATTGATGTTGTCTTGTCACAATTTCTATAACTGTTAAAATCCAATGAGCTTTTTTCTCCTCTTAGAAAGGATATTTTCTCTTGCAGCAAGTAAAGGCAAATTTATAGGGTTTAAAGTTAATAAAAGTTATAGAGGCATCAAAGTGGGGTTGTTTTTCTACCTAACCCTTTATTGCTGTCATTTTTCCTTGTGTACAGGCAAATTTAGTGCTTGTAAAAGTACAAGGAGCTATGTTATATTACTTATCCAGTATATTTTATGATTTGGAGTTGTTTACTGTCATATTTTCAACACAATTCAAGCTGACAAAATCCAACTCAAAGCTAGGGCATTTATAGGTTTGGTTAGATTTAATTTTAACAAAAGTCATATCAAATTAAATCATTCAATTTACACATAATTAAAATTAGATTAGTTTTTATGAAACTCAATTTAATTTAATTTTATTTTTAATTTGATTCAGTTTGATTAATGTTTGGATCAAATTTCAATACACTTATTTAATTTTTTCCATCTTTATAACGATGCAGTGTATTAAAATTAAATCTAATTTTTTTTGACTCTTTTTTCATAAATAGAGATAAAAATATAATAAAATTTTAATGTGCTAACAATAATTAATCATAAAAATTGATATCAATTTATAAGATTAAAATTATTTAATATTATATATTTCCTTTCAAGTCCTTTAAAAATGTTTTTTATGTATTTATATTTTAATAAATAATAAAAAGTTTATTATATAAAATTCAAAACAAAATACTTCTAATAGATAAATTGAATTTGTGAGACTTTTAAGTTATAAATAATTAAATGATGGTCATAGCATGATTATTATAATTATTTAATTTATGTATTTTCATTTAAATCCTTTAAAAAATGTTCATCTATCACTATAAAAAATTTAAAACAAAATACTTCTTGTAGATAAATGGTTTTATATTTTATAAATAAAGTTTTTTAATTAAGTCTGGTTTGATTTGATTTAGTTTTTAGTACTTAAAAATAAAATTTAAATTGAATCAATCAGTTTCCATCTCATAAAAACTGAAGCAGATTTATTATTTTTCAATTTTGATTGGTTTCTTTCTGTTTGAATTGATTTGGGTCAATCTTTTTAATTTAAATCAATTTCGAATACTCTTACTTCAAGCACCCAAAAGTAATCGCATGAAGCATTCATTTTTCAACTTTTATGCTTTAGTTCAGTCTTATAGATAACATAAATCAATTTAATTATATTTTATAATAATTACAATTTATTCTATCATGTCATCCATCACCTTTGAATAAGAAAATATAAATAATTACAAATTTAAGAGATATTTTCTCATTAATTCAAATATGTTCGATCTATTCAAATCACACTTTTATCAATAATAAACAACCTGAAGGTATTAAAATTAGAAAGTGATCATACAGAAAATAACATTTATATTGTTTTTTTTAAATTTTCACCTATCCAAAATTAGGATTTTCATTTATGAGTTATGATAATTTGCGCAAATATGATTACACGAAAAATAGGATCATAAATAATTAGAATAACATTTTAGATAAGAAGGGATCAATCGTTTAATGGAACACTCATTCACAAATATTTATTTCTTCCATTCATCAATATTATGACGCATTTAAAATGAAGGATAAAGGAAATCAAAATTAAATAATAATCCAAATTCTTTATACATTGATAGCAAAAACATAAAAATGAAGGTAACTCTAGGAAATATAATCCCAACAACAAGCTTTTTCAACTTTAACAAACCTATTGAAATAACGAATATATAGTCTATATTTTATAAGAAATTATTAGGTGAACCTCAAAGTATTATATCATTCATGATCCAATTAATAAAATTACACAAATTTAATAAAATAATTTTTTATATATAATTATTTTTAATGATTTTATTTTTTTAAAAAATATAATAATTAAAAAAATGTTTCTTGCCCTTCCACAAGTTCTCACTACTGTACTCTCCGTTCCACCAACCCTACGGAGCCCTTTTCTTTGGCAATCTCACTCTCAAATGGTTTCTGGTTGAGCCCCTACAAGATTAACCTAATTAATCTTCTCAATCAAAGCCTTTCTTCGTCTTCCACACTCGCTGTGAAAGCCATCGCTGGCTTCTCCGCCTCAAGCAGAGTTTCGTTCTCTAACCCTCGAAGCTTTGAATATATACTGTCATCGCACCATCTATTCTTCGTGTCCATCGGCCAGCTTCTAGTAAGTCTATGTCTATATCTTACCCTAAGCGATTTTAGCTATGATCAGTTCTGCATTTTTGCAATTTCTTTCCGAAATTTAAATTTTATTTTTGGTGGAGCTTCTTACCTCGCCGTTGCGTTGCTTGCGGCGGGAGGTTCTGATTTCTACATATTTATTTTTCTCATCGTCATTTTCTATCTTAGTTTTTGATTTCCTTATTTTCCATACTTTGAACTCTTCTCCCTTATTTTCAGATTCTGGTCTCTCCTCTTTCTCTCGCCCATGGCCAGAAACCTGTACACACATGGTCAAAAAGTGGAGGCGCTTGATTTTATGCCTAGTCGCAATGTAGAAGCTGTCAGTCCATGGACAATGGATCCATCTGGTAAGAGACTTGACGCCCAAGGAAAAGAGATAGATGGCGCTGGAACTAATTCAGGCTATGCAGTCTACCAGGTAATCTCTCTTTCTCTAGTTCTTCCCTCCTTGTGGGTCCACTCCCATAGTTATATTGTTTCTTGCCTGTTGTTACAAGTGTTAACTATCTTGAAATGCAGCGCGTTGATGGCAGAGCTACAACCTCTTATCCTAATCCAGAGCGAGGCAAGAGTATTTTTTGCATTGTGTTGTCCCAAAAACACAAAGCCTAACTATATATATTTTTTTTCCTCAGGAATTTTATTGAGTACTGTTCGTATGGTTAAGGAGCACTTCTTTAGGAGATGCACTGAGAATGGAGTGAACAAAAATCATGCTCGCAAGATCATTGCTATGTGCATTACCGGAACTGCATCAAGAATAATCTCAACTAAGGTTGCATTCTCATGCTTATCTTTCAAAGTTAAATGCTATGGGGTCCTTCCCGGAAGTGCCATAACATTTCTTGTTTCTTTTCATGGACAGGAGCTTTCGGCTGTTTACAACATTTTCACTGGAGATGAAAACAGGGAATTTGAGAAAGCTCACAATGACTCATTCAATGACTTCCTGGTCTTCTGGGATGCGTATCATCAGGGTCAATTTCCTCACCTTATGGGTGAAATTGGTGAGGTGTCCACATTCGGTGCTGATCAACTTGATCTTGGCTCACTCTGTCCGTATACTGTTGGTGTCTCTGTGGCATTTATAAGGGCACAGGTAGTGGCACTTCACCTTTATACTATTTGGATGTCTGGCATTCTATCCACTAATCTATTGGGACGTGGGATGAGCATGATGGGCCTCCCTTTAACTTCCGGTAAAAACTGAGGAGGAATGAGAACTAGGGGAGAAAAGTCCTAAAAATGATCAAAATTTTTTTATCGTTTTTCTGAAATTCCTCCTCCCAGCGTCACCATTTTTATTTCTTCTCACTTTTTCTTCTATCCAAACCAAGCCTTGATTTTAAGTGAGAGATGGTTCAGAAACCAAATGGGAAACAAACTCTTATTTATTGCTTTTAATTTGAGAACTAATGCACCATTAGTACATTTGGTTGGTATTAGACTTGAATCAACGTAGAAAATTACACATGAATAAAGTTGAGTTTAATAATTAATATATAATAATAAAAAAAAGACTCATAAACTTAAACCTTGAAACACGTACCTTTCCACTACTTTTCTTCACTTTCCTCTACCTTTTTTTCAGACTGTTTGCTCCCCCTTCCTAAAAGTATGGTTATTTTTGTCTTTAGAATTCTGTCCCTCCCTTTCTATTATTCTTTCTATCCATGCCATAGACATGAAATTAACTGTGCACTAATTGATCACAACACAATTCAGGTCGAGATACTCGAGGACCAAGGGCATTCCTACTTAGAAATCATTAACAATAGTGTCAAAGAAACTGTCGACATTCTGAATATTTGCATCGAACTCGCCTTGGGGAGAGTCGACCAGGAACCAATGCCCCGCAACCTATCAGACCCAGTGCATGGAACAACTGGAACTTCTGCTCAGATCAGAAACGAAGAAGAGATTTCGGTGCCACCCAATGCAGATTCTGTGTCAGTGCATGGAAGTGCTGACTCTAATCATACTTGGTTTTTGCAGAAGCAATTGGGCAAAATTGTTCCGATCTGCAAGGTGGTTTTTGGTCATGGCAGACTACTCTGTGGTTTTGCTTGTGCCTATTTATTGGCAAGGGGTGTATTTGGGCTTCACTTCAACTACTCGGGTCAAGGCTTTTCGCTACGTGGGCAACAAGATCGCGCCATTGTGCATCGTGGGTTCTCGCTCAATGCATGGTTCGGAGCGCAAAAACACGAAAGGTTGTCCATGGAAAATCTAGCTGACTGCCTTGGTAAACTTTCTAACATGTTTCACAAGAATTCATGACAAGTATCCTGTTCGAGCTTTCGGGGCTTGAAATTAACTGTGCATTAATCATAATAATAATATTATTGTGCATTAATCCACTGACTGAAAAAAAAAATTATACCCAAAAAATATAGATCAAATTTTGAAAATTTGAAAATAGAGCTAGTTTATATTGATATATAAAATATTTATCATTAATATATGAGGAATTTATCATTGAAAAATTGAAAACTTATAAAAAATTTATCATTAATATATAACGATATATCATTGATAATATAATAAATTATAAAATATAATAAATATTGAGCTAATTACTTGATTTGATCGCATAACATGAATTATATCTATAAAAGCTCTTATTATTAAATGTATGTATAAAATAAATATAAGAAATAAATTTATAATGTTAATGAAATGACATAAGATGACTAATTTTATAAATTATAATTTTATAACTTGTTAAATACTCTCTCCATTTAAAAGTGTAAAACATTTTTTGAAGAGTTTGATGTTAAAAAATGTAAGGAATTTGTAATCTTTTAAAATGTAATCATTATCTTTTTTCAAAATAGGGTGTTTAATAAAGATAAATATGAAAAGATAGGATTAATTTAAAAGTAAATAATTATTTTATTGAGAGTTAAAATTTAATTAAAAAATGCTTTACATTTTTTAATAGAGAGAGTATATATGAATCTCAATTATAATAGATATAAATATATTTAAAAGTATTTGTATTTGTGCCTATAATTGTCAACATATATATATAATAAATAATCTCAAATCACATTTTACATGTATAAATTGTCCAAAAATAAAATTAGCTTTTAATAGGAATCTAATTTTTTGAATTTTTATTTTTTTCAAATTTTTTAAGCTTTTTTTAATATTATATTTAAAACCATTCAATTTTTTAAAAATCACTTCAATTCTCAATTTAACTTTGATTTTCTCTTACTAATAAGAAGTTAACTCTAATTCAATCTGACTCAATCATTCAAATAATTTTTTGGTTTAAACTCTTAAAAACTCCAATCAATAATCTGATAAATACTAGTGAGTTTTTATTTATGGCCTTAACCATCTTGCGAATGTTTGGATGAGTGGTGAAAGTTCCCGAAAACGCCTTTTAAAGTTTCACTGATTATGAAAACAACACTCAAATTTAGCAAATCATGTTCTCCCTCAAAGCCATGTTAATGCAGCATCCCCTTGCTTCTGCGTTTCGGAGAGCCATGCCCTTTTTCATGGGTGGATGATACAGAACGGGGCGAGAAAAGGATTGGAGAGAAGATGAAATCTCAGGACAAAGTAAATCAATATCAATCTTTATTCTAAAAAGACTTTTATCTGAATTTGGACCACATCCCCCATTTAGCTACACAAAAATCGAATTTATATTTAATTTAAATCCAAATCTATTTTAAATTATAATTTATTTGTAATTTTAAATTTTTTTACACCATAGTAATTTGAAATTCTAACTATTCAAACATTTCATTCTTTTCATATTTTCACATATTTCTACAACTCCGTATCATTTATCATCTCTTGTAGATTCACCAAAAAAAAAATCATCTTTTATAATTTTCTGTTTTTTCCAAATCCTAACTCATCTTTTCTATTTTATTTAAAAATTTTTAAATTATTCAAACAAAGAATTTATATTTGACATATGAATGTAAAATTTTAAATATAAAATTTACATTTAAATTCATTAATTCAAGCGTTACCTAAAAGACAACCTAGTAATCTAATATATTATATTTATTCAAATCAGATCATTCTAATAAAATAAAAATATTAAATATAATTAATGCCATATCTCATCAGGGGACTTCTATCATGAACCCCTGTCCCTGGGTTGGTTTCAACAAGAATTTGCTTCAACTCATAAAGCAATACGAAATCAATCTAGAAAACCCATGAAAATGTAGTTAAAGCCATAGACAGCAATAGCATCAGACTTATCTGCTGTGTTGTTGCCTTAACGAATTGGGCCTGTATGCAGTTTTTTGGGGATATCTTGGGCCTGTTTATTTGCACGAACAAGAATCCGATGAACACACTCAAGGAGTTAATCATAATATTATAATTATAATATAGTATTTATAATATAATTACAAATATCTTCTTAACTATATATCATAATAATATATCTCTGACTTAATACATCAGTTTTGATAATTTTGATATTAATTATTCCTATTTTTAATTTTGTTACATATATCTCTAGGCTAGAGAAGCTAATTTAACCCTACTCAAAGAAGCATGAAAAACTTTAAGATCAGATTTATAAGTTTAAAAAAAATTCTTTAATTCAAACTTATTCAAGCTACTTGAAAAAATTCAAACTGAACTTGAACCCGAATAAACTTAGGCTGAATATTCAAATTATTTGTATTATTAATAAAATTAAATTATAGTAAGATAAAAATTTAAATTAGCTAAAAAATAATAAAATAATATTTAAGAATTCAAGTTATTAATAAAAGAAAAATTAATTATTTAGTACTTGTAAATTTAGCCTAATTATTACTCAGTTTTTAAAGTTAATTTATTGTGATTTAGTCCTTATACTTTAAAGTCGATTGTAATTCATTCTTTAAATGTTATCTTTTACAATTCAGTCCTTATAGTTTCAACTATTTAAATATTGATCCTATATTTTAAAAAAAATTACAAAGATTAAAAATATTTTGAACATTTAATATTGTAATATTTAAAGATTAAAATATTAAATAAACCCTTCAATCTTTATAAATATTATACATATTAAAGATTTAAAATATTTTTAATCTTTATAATTTTATTTTTTAAAATATAGAAATTAATATTTAAGTGATTTAAACTATAGAGACTAAAATACAAGAAAAAAAGTTGAAGGACTAAATTATAACTGAGTTAAAACTATAAGAATTAAATAATTAATTTTTCTTAATAAAATAAAATTACAATAAGATAAAAATTGAAAATGGCAAAAAACATAATAAAATAATATTTACTCTCTCTATTAAAAAATGTAAGGCATTTTTAAAAAAATTAGATATTAAAAAATGTAAAATATCTTTAGTTTTTTGAAATATAATCATTATTTTTTTTTAAAATGTTCCTATTAATGGATAACTTTATATTTATTATAGAGTGTTTAATAGGAATAAATATAAAAAGATAGGGTTTGTTTGAAAATAGATAACTACTTTATTAGAAGTAAAATTTTATTAAAAATACTTTACATCTTTTAAAGAAATAAGTAACAATTTGAGCATTCAAGTCACCTCGAAAAAGCCCAAAGTATTACAAATAAGCTTAATTATATGAACTTTTTTATATATTTGAGTATTTTAAATTCAATTTGAATAAGCCAAATAAGCCCAGCTCGACCCAAATAAGCTTGCTTTACCCTAAGCTATGTTTGGCAAACATCCAAGATGGCAACATGTGATAAAGATGGTCCACATGATATAAAAATTAGGGTCAACTCACCCAATTGAAATTGTTAAACTAATATCTTAATTAATTTAATAAAATTTTTTGTTTATGACAGGTTTGATTATAATTCAATTATGATTTTAACCATTAATTATCAAACCAGTATCATAATTAGTCCATTTTTCAATGCCTTGGTGGTCCAAATTCAATTGTAAACAATGTAAGAGTCAAGTATGGTGCAGTTGGAGTTCATATTTCTCAAGGAAGTCTACGTGGAAGGCGTCGGAAGGTAATCTAAGTTAGTTCCATAATGCTTACGATTGATTTTATCTTTTATAGTGGACCTTGGGCTCTCTTCTCTTCCTAGAACGATCTAATAATAATGTTTGTATTATTTGTTATATAGGAAGAAGTTTCTCTACCAGCTGACTTTTGTCTTTGCGCAAATGCTGACAGCCAATCCGCACCTCAAGTTTACGTGTTAAGACTCATTATATGTCAGCTTTTGAAATGTCTTAATTATGTTTCGTACAAGTCTCCTATTCTAGTTTTATTTCCCACTCCCCAAATATGAGCATTAGAACATTTGTAATGTAATATTTTCATGAAAGAATTTCGGCTAAGGACCTTCGTATAAACTTAATTTTATGTGGATCCAAAAACATTATGAAATTTGAAGAAAAGTCAAAAGAATTTTAACATTAAAAAAATTAAAATACTCTTCATTTATTATATAGAATTATTGACTGTTAATTTTCTTAATACATTTATTAATTTATTAATATCACTTATAAATTACACCCATTTATCAAACAAGAAGTAATATTAATTGTTAATTTATTAACTTTACTTGTTAATTTACTAACATTAATTATAAATAACAAAACTTGTCAATAATTTATAATTAATGTTAATAAATTATAAAACCTACCAATAAATTAACAAATAAAGTTAACAATTTAAGAAGTGATGTTGCTGCTCATGATTGAAAAAATGATATCAAATCTTATATAATTATTGACATAAATTCATATAATTTGTTAACTCATGTTTGTAAATTAACATATTTCAATCTGAAGTGAGCATTCAAATCCTAATTCGACCTGTGATAAAGGACTAACCTGTTCAATTAAATTCAATCAATTTCAATATCCGTTAACAGTACTAGTAGCTTACGTAAATTAAAATTGCCTTAATCATTTGGGTTAGCGGGTTGGCTTTATCAGGGATTTTTTTTAAGGCCTTACCTTACGTCAAGGCATATTTCAAGTTTAGTATTTAGCATTCTGTGTTTGATGAGCTCATTAGTCAAAGCTTTGATCCTAGCCTCTCAAATTTCTATGATTTTTTATTTTGATAAATATAAAAAACTTTCAAATCTAGATGATGAACACCATGGTCTCTTCCGGTGAGAACAAATCAACAGAACTCAATACAAATTTAATATCAATGCAGATGCTTCAACAGCAGAGGAGGCAATAGCAAGAAATGCTTAACAGTACAAAACCATTCAATTTCAGAGAAAATCGAATAAACAGAATAAAATTAAGAAGAAGAAGAAGAAGAAGAAAACGCACCCGGAAACTTGTAACCTTCAATGAAATGGCCGCGGAGTTCATTCTGGATCTCGCCCAGGAAGAATGTAAATCTTTTTGGTTCGCCTGCTAAATCCTTGGCTCGAAACTTGTGGAGGAAAGTTAAAACTCAGGAAAAGGCGTACAAGAGGACTTGTCTTCGGCAAACAAAATGGCGACGAGGCTGAATGCAGATCGAAATCTGCAATTGGTTCAGCAAAAATCGCGACTCAGAAGGAAAAGGATGGTTGGATGGAGACACGGCGATAGAGAGAAGGCATGAAGATAGGGTTTCACCATTTTCTTTTTAATAATATTTAATTTAATTTAACAACCAGATTTGAATTTTAAAGGAGGGAAGTAAAGAGCAAGCCCAAAACTTTTTTGGTTTTTGCCATTAAGCCAAAAACTAAATATACTATGATTATCAGAACTGTCAATTAGGACCGAGTTTATTAGGCCAACTCTTTTAAGCTTGAAAAAAGCTAAGGTCAGGCTGTTATTTCAAAATATAAAATAATAATTTAGACTTAAAAGCCTTAAAATAAAAGGGCTGGCCTTTTTAGGCTCTTTTATAATTTTAATATTAAAAAAATTAAATATTATGCTAATTCTAAAACTATAGCCTCATTTCACTTGGATGAAGAAATAATATATAAAAAGTATAATATTTTTGTCACTATTGAAGCTCCATAAAGAGAAAAATAGAATTATATTAATGTTGATGATAATAAAAATTATCAAGATTTTGCTAATAATGCTAACAAAGTCTGATTATTATTGGTGTTGATTTGTAATATTATCATTTTTTATTATATTTAAATTTATTATTATGTGTATTGGCTTAAATTTATTTTTATCTATTAAATGTTACATGTAATAATTTTTTTGAATTTTAAATATATTTTATTAAAATTTTTAAATTAAAAAAATAGAGGCTAAAGCCTTTAGGGCCAGGCTGACCAAATTAAAGCCCTGAGATGTAATCGAGCTTTATAGGGTCAGCCGTTTAGGCCCTAACCTTTTAAGAGCCTGCCTTTTAGGACCAAGCCAGCCCTAATTGACACCTTTAATGACTATGTGTCTTTAACACTATATTTTATTTTGATATTTTAAATAAAAATAGAGAGAACAAAAATTCTCACAATTAAAAACAAAAAAATGAAAAGGGTGAGTTTTAAGTCAACATTGTATTCGTTGGTTCTAGAAAGGGATTTCTAAGTCTATAAATCTTATCAAGAAAAACTTTTATTAGTAGGTTGCTAATAGGAAATCCATCTTTATCTCTCAAGATTTGTGATGGAAAACGTCTACCTCAATTGCTCAACAGCATCAAACTATATTCAAAGTTTTTATTTAATCATCCCAAGTCTAAACCCTTGGACAACAGCTAAATGGAACGTACCCTTAATTAAGTCTTTATATGATGTTAACTCTGCCAAAACAATTTTGGAGACTCTTTTTTTTTCCTAAAAACTCTGATAGGACATCATAGGGTAAAAGTACTTATTGTATTCATTTAGGCTACTCCTGGCTAACTCAAAATACCAAGGTTAGTCCTCATGCTAATGAAGAAATTTGGAGTTTTCTTTGAAAACTTAATTAACTTTCAAACTCTTCTATTTATCTAGAAGTTAATCCACAAGGCAATTTCTATTGGTGACATTTTTTAGAATCATCATTTAGAGACAAATATTCTTCATGCCTTTAGATGTGACTGTCTTGAGACTTTGAATTACATTTGAATCACATTTTGTGACTGTTCTTTTTCTAGAGCTGTTTGGTTTGGCAATTTGTCTATCCACTTATCGAATATATGTTAGATTATGGATTGGTAAACTAGATTCTAAAGGCCTTTAAGACCCTCTTTATTAAGCAAGATTCTATCACCTAAAAGAGTATCTTCACTTTGTTCCATCTTATTTGGCTCAAAAGGAATTTATTCACTTACAATGGAGCCAAGTGTTCTATTCAGCTCATTATCAGAGAATTTAATAAAAATTTTAATTTCTCAAAATTGCATTCAGCTGGGATTCTAAATATACAAACACAAGTCCTCCTATGTTCTATATGAAACTCTTTTATTTTGAGCTCTAAGCCCTAAGCCCATGTCTTGAGACTTTGAATTACATTTGAATCACATTTTGTGACTGTTCTTTTTTCTAGAGCTGTTTGGTTGGCAATTTTTATCCACTTATCGAATATATGTTAGATTTATGATTGGTAAACTAGATTCTAAAGGCCTTTAGACCCTCTTTATTAAGCAAGATTCTATCACCTAAAAGAGTATCTTCACTTTGTTCCATCTTAATTTGGCTCAAAGGAATTATATTCACTTACAATGGAGCCAAGAGTTCTATTCAGCTCATTATCAGAGAATTTAATAAAAATTTTAATTTTCTCAAAATTGCATTCAGCTGGGATTCTAAATATACAAACACAAGTCCTCCTATGTTCTATATGAAAACTCTTTTATTTTGAGCTCTAAGCCCAATATGGACTTGGATGAGTCTAAGAAAGGTACAATACAATGCACATTGGCCTCATGTAAAGAGGAAGGGTCGTATAATTTTACTTAAAAGAAACAGTTTATAGATATTGATTGGAGGATATAAAGTCACATATTCTTATACTAACATAACTTGGTCACACGGCTCGCTTCAAGCTCTTAACAAAACTTATGTCTTGATTATTTGCTTATTAAAAAAGAATAGAATAGAATAAAGATTAATATATGAAGAAGAAATAATTCAATCATTTTATGAGAGGAGATGAATAATTTAATTCTTGGGTTGGAATCATGATTCTTGTGAATTGTGATGGGTGTAACAAGTCCCATATTTGAAATATGTGTTATCGATTTTGTTTTTCATATTCACCATAAGGAACTGGATAATTTAGTTTTTTATATTATTTTTTCATTCATTCCATTGGATTCCTTTCTACGAAGAACGGGATCATATGATCAATATCTGATTATAAAGTAAAATCTCATAATATAATGATTTATTATTTTTTAGGTAATTATAATTTTTCTATTGATATTTTCCATTGGTATTGCCAAACACCTATGTTTATAGACATTTATTGACATACTTTGATAGGCAAGTCACATTGTGAAAATTTCTAAGAAATAAGCTAACGCTTTATAAATTAACTCGCCATATTTCATATTGAATGAATATTAATAGGAAATCGATGTTGGTTCCTCCCCATACTTGTTTTTTTTTTTTGGCTTTTGGTCAATTCATTTGCCTTTCGTTGCATGAAAATCATAATGTCAATTTTGCAAGAACACAAAACTTCAAAATATCCATAGTCTTAGCATCACATTAAAAACCCAAAAGAGAATTTACAAAAGAAAAAAATACTACATTTTTATAAAACCTCACACTATCTACCTAAAATTGACTCCAATATCTAAATATTCTTTTGGTTTCCCACTTTTCTCCTTATTTTCAACTTGATCATATTGATCATCATTAAACCTATTTGAAATTGTAGCATAACCAGAGATAGAAGCTTGTGTTGATGTACTAGCTTTATTGTTTTCTTGCAGACACATGCAATATTGGAGAAGTTGGCCATATTCCATCCATCCACTCGCATACTTGAAACAGTTGAGTTGGAAGTAATTTCTGCATGCAATGAAATTCATGATCATGTTAATGCTAACGCAACAAATAGATTTTTTAGATCAAATATAAGAAAAACTCTCTTTGATTACCAAAAGAAGGGACATTAACATGCTTAAGCCTTCTGTTCTTTGTTGTTATTGGATAAGAAATGTTTATAGTAGCAAAAGCCACCAAAGGCTCTATCTCCCATAGAGAAAACCTCTCTGGCCTTGGAATTGCTGCAGGTTGATCCCATTGAACCTATTATAGGAAGAAAATATGGATGTTTAAAGTGAAGATAATGCAAGTCACAAAAGCATCATTACATGAGTATACTACTCTTGTACTATTTGTAAGGAGTTTTATGAAAAAATGGTCCTAATAATAAATGTCAAATAAAAAAGATGAACAATCTTCTAGTTTCACCTTTTAACTTAAAAAACCATTTGCACAAATAACAAAGCAACACAATGTCTTTCTTTAATTAATAAGGGTATAATTGGAAAGCTATGATCTTTTTAACGAATAAATTAATATAATAAATTTTCTCAAATCTCATGTAAAACATCTCGAATAACTTATAAACAAAACTGGAAGAGTATTTAGAATAGTGTCAAACCTTTAATGACCTCCATTTAGAATCTGACCAGTTTTTAGAGAAATCTTCAGCACCGAAAATAGTACCAAAGAACCTTAGCAAAAGAATCATACAACATTAAAATATAAATCTTGGATGAAACATGATAATCTCAACAATGTTATCAGTTTGGTAGGATACCATATAGGAAGTAAGTGTTCTCTCTCAAATCTCATCTCTTGAATCGCATGCCAACAGAAACTTGTTGTTCACTGCTTCCAAATATTTATTCAAACGAACAAATGAATTGGCTAATCCTAAATTAGATAGTAATAAAAATGTTTTATATTATAATATACTAATATTTTTTTTATGTAATATAGATCATGATGTCCACAAACTTAACCTTGGTTTGTAGTGGACTACAAACATAGTGCCAGTTGTTATAGCATGTGATGTTGCAGCAAGAATTCCTAGATGCATACACTGGCTTGAAACCACAGAAGAATATATATGACTTTGTTGCTTAGAAGGACGCCTAACAACACCCCACCATAGTTTCTTATCGTTTGTTCCCTTATAAGGATCAAAATTAAATATGAAGTATCATCAAACAATCATAACATGAGATCCAACATACAAATACAAGAAACATTAAATACCTTAAAACTATAAAGGCATCTCTTGCATTCAACTTTTTGAATGAAAGGAAGTTACTCCACCCAGTTATAAGAAGATGCCTCCTGTCTCGTTCTAATTTTTCATAAAAGAAAAAGGATCAAGGTCATTTAGCCCTAAACTATAGGTCAAATATTGTCTAGGACCCTAAACTTATTTTTGGTATAATTTTCCCCTTCAAAATTTCAAAATGATACATTGTTGCTCCCGTAATTAACAATGTTAGCTTTATTAATGGTAAGGGCAACATTACACCATTTTTTAAAAGTTGAAAGGGAATATTGCACCTAAATAAGTTTAGTGTCCTAGGTCCTCTTAGACTTATACTTC